ACTGAGAATACCTGGTCTCTGCCGTTTTTCTTATCATTTTCTGCAGAAATATGTACTACTGATTGTAAGAAAATGATCGGCAATTGTAACTATTCTCAGAAATTGAAATTTCTAGGAGAGAGATAAAATAAAGACAAACTTTCTATCTTCATTTTTGTAGATTTAGAAAGACGCCAAAAATGTGCACCTTTTAGAACTTTCGAAAATTCAGAGGTATTAACGAAAGTGAGGCCTAAGCCAACTCTTTAAGCGACTTCTGCTTTATCAGAGAAAAATTAAAGAAAACATTTACAGACATTTTTGACAACATTTTGAAAATGTTGAAGTTCAAAGTGCCAGAAAAAGTACCCCAGAAAATCAAAATATCCGTTTCAAATTCAAGAGGCCGTGACTCCGACAGATCGATCGGAGAATATGGATACTACTTACGGTTTGTCCGCTAGCGTTGTGCACAGTCAGACAGTCGTTTTGTCCTAATCCATTATTTCGACACACCGGATACCCACCAAATAGGAATTCTGAAAACTTAATGAGTTCGATTGATTAATGATTCCGGGCACGTCAACTATGAAGGTCATTAGTTCCGTAAGTGTGGTGCATGTTTTCTTCTCTGGAGATGGCTATTATCTTCGTGGCTGGCTGGTGAGATCCGGCGCCGATCTACATTGGCTTTCACGGATTCTCCTCAACCAGATATCTCCCACTAGCAAGGCACCGCCCCGGCCAGGAAAAGCTCTAAGCTTCTGATTGATGTCCCGACATGTGTGGTAGTGTAGTACATGTGAGTGTAAGTGCTGGAGAAAGGACAAGGGAGAGGAAGGAAAGATCGCGCCTGGGCTGTGGCTCGTTTGTTAAAGAACTACTCGCGTATTCGCCTCGTGTTGTTGGGAGAAACCACGAAATACTACCGATCAGAGCAGCCGGCCGCTGGAAATCCCCATCAAATAGCCGCTGAATTCGATCTAGCAGTCTACAGCGCGTTCGAGATTAAGAATGAAGTACATGGCCTTGTGAGCTTTTCCAGAAAATAAACATCCTACCCATTTTTAAGATTACAAAACTGTTTTGTAATCCTCAGTAACTTAATTTTTAAAACAATAATTACATTAGTAAAATAATACCCCGAATATACCATATATTTATCACAAACCGTGGTGAATATAATTAGGATTTATTAATTTTTGTAGGAAGGGATACCTGTGTTTAGTTGTGTTTTGTTTCGAGATGTAAGATTTTAATCGCGTCAAAGTTAGATGTAATATCGTTTACTTTTCTTCATTTTGGCTTTTAAGTTGTGGTCAATTTATTCATTTACATCTTTTACTTTCTCGTGCTTAAGACGGGACTTGTTTAGAAGAAAGTAATGTAATGCTACGCAAAAAAATGGCTAATTTTCGGCAGAAAAGTTATTATTATAGGGCCGTAGTAACGAAAACATCGATAAATCAATTGCTGCATTTGGAAAAAATCCTCTAACACGTGGTGTAGTCAAAATTCATGTTTCGTGGGTCCTTGATGCCGAAACGTCGATTGACGGCAAAACGTCCGTCTACGAACAACGCTAGAGGCTAAACCGTTCAGCCTATTTTCTCGAAAATTGATATTCCCTAAACGATCTTGCTGGTGTCGTGTTCCCTTGAATTACGGCATCTTCCTACAACTACAAAATTGAAGATAGAGATTTTTCCTTCAAATAAAATTTGATGTCCATAATGAGTTATTTCATTAAAGTCATGTACATTTTTTAAAACTTTAAGTAGTTTTCGCGGAATATTGCGAGCAATAAGTGCAATTTTAATTAATTACAAAAACAATATTTTCTCAAAAACGGCTCTAAATGTTTCCTTTTAACTTCTAGTAGTGATAGTGCTGAAGATAACTCTACAAGATGACATAAATGCCATAAAGCTAACTCTATAAGGTGACATAAACGCAATACTGCCATTTTCTTTTGTTTTTTCAAAAATTACAAAAACCATTTTCTCAAAAACCGCAGCAAATTTTTCCTTCACATTTTTCGAACGGATATTTCTAATTGCACTCTTTAATATGAAGTAAAGTTAATTTTGGAGCTGTTTAAAAAACATACAAATATAATTTTTTTGAAAGATTTCACACACTTTAATATGCTAATTTCCAGCAATTTGTAAACAGTACTGTATTTGTGAGATAAAGTGATTCAAATGACTTCTAATGAAGTTTTTCGAGAGCTCAACATTTTTTTTATGAAAAAGGGCTTCAAATTTCGAGTTTACAGCAGCGCTTAAACACCATATTCTTAAAAATGGCTCCAAATTTTTAAAATGAAGTTACTGTTTAGAACAAGGTTTTACTGTCCATTAATATTCTTAATATCTGTTCTTAAGATTTTCTTTCTGCTATTAGGAAACCGAAAAATTAAGGGCAGCGATGGATGGGCTGTACGTTGGGCTGCGATAGAGGGAAGCTGACAAGAGTATGTGGCAAGTCCGAATAGCTAGACGAGACCAAAGGAAACAGAAAACGAATACGGGAAAGTCTGTGTCATTCTATATAGTCACTATTTCTCTTGTGTCACTCTCATATAATTACTTCTAGGCTGTCCGGGTGACGCCGCGTCGTTGGCAGATAGACGTCACCCGGACAGCCTAGAAGTAATGGACTCGAGCCGCGGAAGCCTACGTGTATTCGCATATAATGTTTCAGCAATAGTATGCAACTATTGGAGACATCCATTCGTATCGCTTTTCTATTGTCATTTTGATTTTATGAAACCTTCCACCATGTTCATCGCAAACGTCACTGCAATTCTCAAGAAACTAACGCAAATTTCAATGAAGAATAAGCATTTTTGGCGATACGTTGCTTCCTAAATCCCGGAATGCTAGTATAAGGATTATCCCCCTAGCCCTTCTTAGTTGTTAGTTCTTTTTTCGTGAACATTTTACGTTACACTATTGAAAAATGTTTATGTGCTGTCTTCTTTTGATGTTATGCGTCGTTCAAAATTTGTTTCTTTAAGACGTTCTCTAATTTGGAGATCCACAAACACACCTTTCTTTATTGTTGTATCCGAAAGACGATAAATGTTTTTTGAAAGGTATATAAGCCATCTAGAAGTATTCAAGGCTTTGACAAACTGTTCCATAAGACTCAATTTGATGTGAAGTGCAGGCAGAAGGACATCATCACTGGGTACCTTGTTATTATCTTTCTAAACATTTTTTCTCCCATTTTCCATTCACGATGAGGCCTAATCTTTGTTTTGTAATGAAATTTGTTGTCGAAGATATTCCACTCAAATAGAAAACATCATACTTGGTGTAGCCATGTTGCATTCCCAATTTAATAACCAAACATTTAAGTAAATTTAATAACTCAAAAAGTCCATGATTAAAAATTTTTAATTCCAGATTCAAATTTATCAACCCCAAAACCTTCAGAAGCACATATTATGGGAAATTGACCCTTGCAGAACAGTGTGATCCACGTTGCCAAATTTGTAATTTGTATCCTGCATTCAAAACTGTAGGCAACACTTGTTTCATGCGAGTACGAAGGGTTGCGTTTAATGAAGTATCTTGAAGGAATATTAGGAAATATCCATATCTGCCTAAGATATTTCATTTTCTTTATTTTCCGGTTAGATCCATCCACAATTTGTCCATTGTCTAGGTGGGCGTGGTTAATTATCAATTAACGGCGTACAGGCTGCTCAATTGTGACTTAAACCGTGAGCCATTAGAGAAATGTTTCCTAAAGCGGTTTCTACATACCCATTGGATCCCTTGGAACCGCTGAAGGGGGCGGTGGAAAACGACAATTAATTTAGGATGCGTGAGCAACGCCAGACGATCCTTGAAAATTTTGATAAAAAGTAAAATTATTGTGATCCATTCTCATTATTATGAATGTTATTCAAACATAGAGATTAACATAAAACCCCAAGTGAAATAACTGAACACAAATAGACACAATAGCAAAACTATTCACATACACTGACGTCCTGAAGATAATGACCTGTTGATAAGTGAAATTGATGAGACAATATGATACTATTTATTCAGAAGTCGAGAGCAAAAGAAGGGACAGGCATTTTCACGCCTCAGACATGAATGGATCTCGTGCGTGGCTGTCCGAAGCGTAGTTGTTGTTCTAGACATGACTAACAGGTTTCTGTATTTTGAAAGTCTATCAGGTCACTAGAAAGACTACAAAACTGTTTTCGGTGAGGGCGCAATGATTTCACAAATACGAAACAAAAATTAAAATACAATTCAAAATTCAATTCAAAAATTCAATCACATTCTAATACCAACTATAAAGAAATTTTGTATGCATTTATGCTAAGCCTCTGCAATTACATAACTGCACACAGCAGGGCAGCAACGCTAATATCACACAAACAATGCAAGACAAAAAGATTCTTAAACTTGTTCCGTTTATAGTACGTTTTACCTATCAACACCGCATGTACCCAGACGAAGGGGCGATGAGACCCAGGACGCTGAAGACATGTTACCCTCTGAATATGGAAATCAAGTTTCATTACCTCCTTAGATCTTCAAGGTTTCTACGTAATTTCAATACCCGTTAGGGCCAAAGTGATTTATTCAATAGAGAAACCTAATTGTTTCGAATCTTCAAATAGCAAGATTTCAATAAAAGATTTTTGTATTTATTGTAACATTATAGTCATTTCTTTAAAGATTAAACCTTAAACAATAACCCATTCCTTTAAACCAAACACAAACGTGTTTCCCTCGTATTCTCTAAATGAGAATGCCATTTGGATAAGTATGAATCTCTTCTCGCCAACTGCTATTTTTGCCGAAAATCCGTACGCAAGCTGAACCTCACGACCATACGATGAAGTCATTTTAGTATCATTCAATGTATAGAATAAAGCAATATTGATTCAAAATAGAACTATACTACATAATCAGGTCTGCAGGTTTGTTATACTTTCCAATAAAAATAGAATGAAAGAAAACCATTTCAGTAAAATAAAAAGGTAACTTGTTAAAATTCGTAAACCGATGAGAATCTAGGTTGATTTTGCAAGACGAGAAAATTATCAAATGTATACATGAACTTATGAAGGTTTGCCACCAAAATTATTCACATTTGGTGAGAGCCTACAGATCTAAAAGGAACTATTTCAGCTAAAGCTACACTGCATCTAGTGAATAATCAATGTACTGGCATAGGGGTAACATCACTTTAGTGATAACCTTATACCAATGTGGTCTCGTCCATTGTAAGGAAGTGCACACTGAAGAATCCAGTTTTAATTAAATACTGCATAGTTAAACTTTATTTTTGATATAGAAGTACAGGGATGAGGTGAAGAAAAAACATAAAATGTGTAGCAACATTGTTTTATTCACTTTATTTAATGGAACAGTGGAATCCATACCAACTGTTTTTGCTTGGGAATGGTTTTGTGCAAATTTGACCTATTGTTTTTAAATTTTGCTGAACTGGCAAAAATATATAACTTTGTATAATCAGGACTAGAAGCACTGCAATTAGCTGAACTTCAAAAGCATTCATACAAGTTACATTTCACATGTTATGCATTTTATGTGATCAGTGTAATGGGAGTGTTATTCACATATTTTTATCTCGAGTGTTTCAATGAGCAAGGAAAAACATTTACCCCAAGATCAATCATTCCTCAGGTTTGAGTATCACCAAATCCTCAGCTACACACAAGCAACATTGGTCAAGTGTATTCACTCTACTCTTGATTGTTCCCATCTAAGTCTTCCTTTCATACAAGTGAAATGCACACCTGCCATCTACTGTAATCATAGGAAAATATCTCTCAGTTGTGCAAGTGTCGTAATGCATGTTCAGCTAATGACTTTCCTTTTCGATAATGAAAAGTAAGCATGAAATGAGTATCATTCTAAACTGCCAATATCGAATATTTCAACTAACCAGCAGCAAAGATAAATAATACCAACAATTTACAAAATACTGATCAACATTTCTACTCCCCATGGTCTTCACTTGATATCCAGTGTGGGGAAATCAATAGGGCTCAGTCAGTACTGAACAAAGGCTCAAGGAAAAGAAACAGAATTTCAAGATAAGGATATGGGAAGCAGATTGGATATTTTTTGAAAATTGGTTGGTCCACTTTTTAGAGAGAGCTCTCAATCTTGATCAGCTCAGCAATGCCATCATTCATTTCCTTGACAGCCTGGTATTCAGTCAGACCCATGCGCCTCCTGTTGGAGATATCATAGACTCCACCCTCAGCTTCCGTGTGCTCACCGCGGGTGCCACGGACCTTTAATAGGAAAAAGAACCAATATTAAGGCCTGCAACCAGCAACTTGTCGTTACCTACATAACACGTCGTTAACACCCTCAAGATAATACTTTGAAACCAAATCTACTTCAGCAAAATTATAACAGAGAAAAAGGAATTTGGAGTAGTTCCACAATACATACCTGCAGGTTGTACTTGCCAGCAACTTCCTCCAGCTTAGCACGGTTAGCAGCCAGCTTGGGGACCTTGATGTGCACAGAGGCACGCACAGTGGTGCCCAAGTTGGTGGGGCAGAAAGTGAGGAAGCCAAGACGGTCATCATGGGAGAAGGGGATGCGCTTCTCAATGTCATTGACAGCAGACACCAGACGGCGGTAGACCTAAGAAATTAAACAGATTTGTTAAAATACTCCAACCTCCAACATAAATAACCCTGATTATGCCTATCAGGATAACTTCTTCCTGGTTGAATATTTAAGAGAATGCGCTTTTCTCACCTGGCCCAGGTCACCACCCATCTGCATGGAGATGATACGGAGGTGATCCTCCTCATTGCACCAGATCAAGAAAGTCTTAGCATCGTTGTGGTAGATGCCACGGCCAGTGGGCCAGAAGCGGCAAGCATTAGCAGCCTGAAAGACAAGAAAAAACATTCCATTCAGCATGTGATCAACACAATTACAAAAATTACAAAAGCCTCTTCAGGAAATCAGTGCAGTGTTAAAGGTTTAGAATGTTAATTTCAGCCATTTAAGATATAATTAATGAATAAACTCCAATCTACACACAGTGATACCCCTCCCCCGTTTCATTTTTGATGCAAGTATTATTTGAAGATTAATTCTTTACCACATTTTAATTAACAGAACAGAACATTTTTGTTGCTGAAGTAATGAGGGAAGACCAGAATTAATACAGATTACTTTTAATGTATTCATTGATCTATTTTATTATTTTTAGATTTACAACTATACAAGTACTCAAAGTTTTTGTCTCAGGCTGTGAAGTTTAAGAACTTTTGGTGTAGAAGGGTTTAATCCAATAAAATATTTAACTACACATTCTTTTTCCTCACCTGCAAGAACCTGTCACCCTCCTTGAAGAGGAAGTGGTCATCAATGAGCTTCTGCTGCACTTCCTTGGTCATGCCAGTCAGAGGGTAGAACTGACCCTTCAGTTCACCACTCAGACCAGACAGGGTGCTGGAGACCTTCTCCTCCATCTCCTTGTACTGAGCCTCAGTCAAGCAAGGGTTGAATGGGTAGCCTTGCATGGAGCGACCACAGCGCACACGGGTAGAGATGACGTAGTCACCCTACACAAAAACATTACACATTATAAATGAACCACTAAAACAGGCACACGTCTTAATTTGGCTACTTAGAAAGGTCTCTCCTAATGCAGAACGTTTATTTAATGAACAAATTGAGCAATGAATACTCACGTTGGGGTCCAGGTTGCCAAGGGTGTCCACATCGCCCCAGTCCTTGGGGGGATGCTTGTCAGTCTTCTTGAATCCACCATGGTATTCCTCAATTATGGGATCGAACAGATCAGCAAAGGTGTTGTAGGCCTCAGCATCAGGAGCATACACACCAACTCCAGAGTCATGATTCTCAAGACCTGCACATACAAGACAAAAGTCATTAAATTACCTACAAAGAAAACCTTCTATAATATCCATTGTGTGATAATAGTACATAAAAATTAAGCATTCTAGCATTATGCTCCAGAATGAAGAACAGTTTTCTATTATATTGTCCCAATACAAAAATTTAGAAACACTACATTTCCAAATTTTTTACTTGTTCAAATTAAAGAAGACGCAATTTCTAAAGTGAATTCTAGATGATAGTGGCCTGTAGTACGTGAACATTATTTCGCAAACAAATTGCATAAAAATGAAAGGTGTAAAACCCACTAAAAAAAGAAGGGGGCTTCTAGATCAACGGCATTTCAAGCTTTGAGTCTAATCGACAGATTCGTTCATTTAATTCTTCTCCTTTAGCATCTCTCGCAAAGCGTACACGAGATTCGCCTCAGTACAGTAGCCCCCAAACGCTCCACACGCTCGATCCGAGAGCGCCGTGAATTCGAGCGGCCCGCGCTCGCATGCGCCGGCCGGGCTGCTTTGCTGGGCCTGACGGCAGCACGTCTCTGGAGGTAGGAGATTGTGACACCTGCTCTGTCTGAATGCGTTGCAGAACTGGGTATTAACTTACGCGGCGAACTTTTTCAGACCAATTTTCTGTATTTTACAGCTGTATTTACTACACAATCCGAATCTATGTTAACGGAAATTAATCAATTAGATTTTTTCAAAAGTAACAATTGTCAGTAATTCTTTCTGGATCGATATTGCTCCTCAAAAAAATATTTATCGGCTGCATTTTGTTTCGTTCACTTGCTGAATTTGCTGTACAAAAGATTCCCGCCATTTCCGTTAGTCTACGAGGAACGGTTTTATTCGTACCATTCTGTGTTTCACTCCCAGTTCAAATGCTTGAACTTCGAGACCTATTTCATTTTATACTTTTAAATAATGACAAAATACGGAATCACAACTAAGCGAGCATCAGACTGGTAGTTCTCGACCCAATTTCGCTCGAAACATGAAAGTGGTTGAACGTACGGTGGACTGCGATCTAGCCGATTTTGTTATTCGCCGTGGCGCTATGGCGGAATAGTCTGGAGCAGGAATGCCTCGCAGCCTCCCCTTCCCGCGAAGGATCGTTAGGCGTTGGATTCCCCTTCCTCTGCCGCACGCCGGAGGAATCTCCTCTGTGGCCAGCAAGCAACCCCTCTATGCAGATGAGCCGGGACGAAGGAGCACGGGCGGTGGCGGGGACAGAGCAAGCGCCGCGAAAGCGAGAGCGGAGGTGTGGTGCGGGGACGAGAGCAAGCCGCGACGAAAGAGCGGGAGAGTGCGTGGGCGTGGCGGGGACGAGAGCAAGGGCGGGGGCGAGAGGCAAGCGCGCGGACGAAACGAGAGCGCGGAGCGGAAGGTGGTTGGGCGTGGGGGGGTGGCGCGAGGCCGCCGCGGAATTCCCGGCCGCGGCGGCGGCGGCGTCGAGCAGAGGCAGACTCCGCGCGATCGATGCCGGCCGGCCGGTGGGTGGGTGGGTCGTTCGGCCGGCCGCCAGACGGCAGGACGGCGCGGCGCCGGGTCCCGGCGGCCGCCCGGTCGGCGCCCGCCAGGTTGCACCGACGCCGCACGCACGCCACGCCACGCCACGCCACGCCCCCTCCCCCGGAGCCTTTAACACTGCACCGCTCCGCCAGCCAAGGCCGCCTTTCGATCTGGACAGGAGGCGCTCTCGCCAGGCCAGTGAACCACGGGATCTTATGCAACGCGTTCTTTGCACCACAGCAAAGGGGATCCCACTATTTCTATTTAAATTTGGCGGACCAAAAAACTTCTTAGAGACATTTTAACGTCCGCTATTTTGATTTTCCCCAATCTTTTATTCCAAGCGAAAAATGAATAATTACTTAAATTTGGTAAATTGAATATTATTAAATTGTTTATATACATTACAAATAGAAATAGTACAGGGGCTCGAAATTCGTTAAGATGGACGTCCCCACTGGGAAACAATTTCGCTGTTGCCACACTTTTTTTTGAGACATTCTCGCAATTTCAATAAAAAAATAAATAAAAAAATCAGTTAAAATATTTTGCTACGTATATCGTGATTTATTAGTAAATTAATAATCTCACTATTCAAGGGGCCTATACAAGCGTGATGGATGTTTAGTGAAACCATAAAATACTCCCATACTGTAATATACCTACGCGAATAGGCGTTTGCAGAAGTTAGGAATCGTTGCAAGTAACAGAAGTAATTGGATAATTGGATGAATATGGCGTTATTAAAAATGCTTAACTTTCTTTTCGTAATTTTATGGAGATTTTACATTTTTCATAACATTGTGATACGATTGTACATTTATGTAACCTGGAGAAAATATATTTTTCTATCATTTTGTTCAGTTCCTCTAATACTATCTCTGGCAATGAGTTTTGGAAATTCTTGAAATAATTCCCATTTTATTTATAGTTAGATTAATCAGTAATTGCAGGCTTGTAAGTCTATGTATCAACGGGTAATTTAAAAACGAAACAATTTCCTTTCAAAACAAGTTTTTTAGACCTTGTCCTTGTAAAATCCTAATACTTTTCTAACGACCATTTTATCTACTAATTTCTTCACCTGTCCAATTGGTTGTGGAATCAAAGTTTGGATATGACAGGTTGAACCAGCTTTGTTTGAGTGTGAGCACATGTCTGACGAAACTAACTTTTCATTGCGAAGGTCATACGTAAATTACGAAGGGTAATTCTGAAGGTACCGAGCCTGTAAAAAGTGCCCTGACGTTTGTTAACCTTCCCCATACGTACCAGACTGGATGACATCCAGAAGGGTGGAACCGAAAGACGGGGTTTTGACGGTCTTGAGCTTGTCGAAGATTTCCTGCGTGAGGTGCTTCTTCAGCAAGGACTTGCTGTCAGAGTCCTTCAGCTTCTTGAAGCCGGCCTCCAGCTTCTCCAGCACCGCGGCGTCAACCATGGTGTCTGCTCTGAAACAAGAGAAAAGCGGAAGGTCACCCAACTGTTCACTACATACGGGAACGAGGTCTCAGGATAGGAAAACCAACAATAACACTTCAGATGCCTAGCAATTAATAAAACAAATCCACACAAAACCACACGATGCACGTGAAACAAACTATGCAACGGTGTAGAGTCTAACAGAATTTTCCTTTCTAATATCTGATACCATGCTTATGATCATTAAAATTTTGTACCGATTGACATATTTCAAGGCATTTCTATTTTTCTTCGCTCTAGTTGGAAAGTTTTGTTTATGCCCAACACGAGCAGTCCAACACAGCAAGAACTAGACCTTTTTTTATTTCCGCATTGAATCTTATTTTTATAGTTCCATTCCAGCCATTTCTGATCTCCTGCGTTGCATCTGTGAGCATCATGCGACAAGAGATTAGACGACACGTATTTGTGTCCATCGATAACAAAGTATATCATTTTACTTCAGACAGCTGCTGATTAGATACCAGAGATGAGCGAGATAGAGCTTCCTGTAAAACTGTCACCCCAAAACTGCGATAATATGATAATTATGCATTTATATTAACTTCAGTAGTGTGAATCAAAGTAATGTAGCTAGCCTTGTCACTTCTGTGAAATCATAAAATACACTGCAATGTCTCCGATTTCTGTATTGAAAACTATTCAAAAGGGGAGTATTGGACGTTTATCAGTAAAAAAACATCAAGACGAATGCAACACTAAGCAGCTTTTACAAGGTTTGTTCCGTACCGAATAGACTGAATGCAAGCGATGCTAAGACAAGTCCACGAAGTAGTCTCTCCGAATTTACTATTTTCGGAAACAATTGACAAACTTGATAACTAGATCCATTTTCATACAACAGTCACTACTTCATGTTATCGACCTGACCAGTAATGTTTGATTTTATTAAGCCTAAAATTAGATCACATTAGCAGAAAGATTTGTACAGATGTTCTAGGAGCTTCTCATGCAATTTTCATTTTATAGTAGTGCTTATTGCTTCTTACTAATTAGGTATCGACATTCTCCCATTTCCGTTCGTCGCTTGCTCGATGAATCGTCATCGGAATCGGCCGCAGCAGCCGTCAATCGCGTGCCGCTTCGCCGCTGCATCGAACGCGCCCAGCCCCCCCCTCGGGCCACCGCGAGAGGGGCCGGGCCCGCTCCGCGCGCGCGCTCACACGAGGGATGAGAGATGAGGGGGGCGGGGGACACGTCCTCGCGTCATCGGCGCAGGGCGGGAGGCGCGGGGAAAACCGGCAGCGCCCGCACGTGTCGTCGCTTCCGATCGCCCCCCCCCTACCGTCACCACCCCGACCCTCCACGTCGCCCGACAGCCCGCCCTCCGGCCCGGAGGCCACCGACCCCTCCCCGCGGCGGCAGATGCATCTGCTCCCGCCGACCAAGGGCACCGCAGTTTTCTTTATTGCGCATCGTGTTTTCATACGGATTGGGCCCTCCATCGAATTCCCGCTTCGGAGAGCTCTCGTGGCTGCGCCATCGATTTAGAACTTCCAAATTCCCGTCCGTTATTACTCCACGTAGCAAATTCGGTCAATTTTAATCAAATGTCACATGAAACCTTTAATTTTTTTTTTCAAATAAACCAAACTACGGAGCGTTCAGGTACTTCGTTCTGGAGGTTAATGCATTTTATAGTTTCCTTATTTTAATATATTTAAAATAAGGACGGCGCTCGCACCGTCGTACTTAGATCTAAAACCAAGTTTTGGTCGAGTAGCTTCACAACTCAAAATTTTCTCCACTACGACGGTGCCGTTTCCGGCCCGCGAATACTCCCGCGAGCACTTGATCGATCCGTAACCACGACCGATATCGAAAGCGAGAGAATCTAACGCGAGCTCCCTCTCCCGGGGTGTCCACACGGCAGAGCACTCTCAACCCAAACCCCGGGGCGGCAATACAAGGGCCAGTTCGTTAACAGCGCCAGTAATTCGAACGGAAACGGCTCGTCAGTTTAATCGCAGCCGCGGCGGCGCGCAGGACCGCAGATTGGGGCTTCCCTTGAGCGTGGGCGGGACCGCCCGCCCGCTGCCGCTGTCGCTCGCCCGTAGCCCGCCCGGCGCGGTCCGAAACGGTGGCGGGAGGCGGGGGGTGGCAAGCCACGCCCTTCTGTCGCGCGCCGCGCCCTAAGATGGCCACGCCGCCGGCCACCCCACGCCCCCGCACACGCCCGCGCCCCTCGTCGCGTGCGCCCTGCCCCTCTGCACGCACTGCCAGATAATTTCGCCCCTGACCGCACGCTTTTTGGCTCCACTCGCCACCAAGGCTTTTCGCACCGCACCGCACCGCCAAATGCGCGCTAATTCCAAGTAAACTTCCATCAAATTATTCACATCAGAATCATTCGCAATCGATGCGATAACATGAATAAATATTTTAGTATTTCATTTCCCAAGTTCCCAAATCTAAAGCAAGTTCAATCGCGAAAGCAACAGTTGAAACAAGTTCAGTCATCACTCAAGCCAATTACATGCAATATCGGGTTGCTCAGACATATTGCGATTCCCGTAAAGAACATATCATGCTCTTAAATGGATTCCCGCGCGTGAGTATCGTTCCCCACAGCGCACTTGGAAGGCAGCCAAATCCGGAAGCGGAGCCGGCATTTTTAAATGGAGCCCGTCGGCGCCAGACGCTGCACAAGGGCACCACGGAATTTAAAAGCTCGCGTGCACTCGAACGCAACGCAGTCGCGCCGACCTCCGCGCGTTAATGAATAGCACCAGGAAGCTAATCGGGGTGCGAACTCACGCGGACGGTGAACGCCCATATTTATTGTAATACTTATGTACAGAAGCGAAAACTATATCCCAATTGAAGCTGGCCCTCCGCATCGCTAATTCAAACGCAATCATACCTCGCCTCTTCATCTTTCGGTTGTTCGTTCGCCTGTTCTCCTTCCGCTTTCTGCTCTCCCTCGGCTTTCTCCTCTCCCTCCTTGGCCGCTGCTGCCGCCGCCGCCGCTGCCGCCGCTTCCTCCTCTTGTTTCTTCGATGCACAACCACCCATTTTTGTTTATTTTTTGTGTAAAATTATATAAAAACGGTCATAAAAGCCTACTACGTCCTATCTATCACTAATCCGGTGCCACTGCTACACACTACGGGACTACGGGTCTACTACGCCTCCTCCACACGCGGGTCCAGCCTCCTGCGGTGCCTCACGTCCTCACGCACTCGCCCATAGCCCGGAGTGCGCCGACGAGCTGTAGCCACCGCGCTCTCTCTCTCTCTGGCTGGCTGCGAGGCGACGCGACGCCGCTCCGGCACGATTGTCGGGACGGTCAGGGGTGTTGAAACGATCGATAAAAGCGTGTACACACGGGGTGGAGGGGCGCGCGCGCCGCCGCCGCAGCCAATGGACACGCGGCACGGCGCGCCCCGACTCTGGTTCAAACCCTCCAATCCGGTGACGCACAGAAATCCCGCTGAATCACTTAAAAATCCACGATTGAAACTATTGTACGATTCTCAGAACTTCATTGTACTACGAAAAAAAAGTTATCTGGCGACTGTCCATCAAGAGTGTAATGGAGCTGATAATGACGATTTATCGGGAGTGAAAATGAACGATCTTCCTACGAAGTTCGACTTTACTCCAATTGAAGCTGTCGCTAGCCGAAAGATAAATAGTGATGATGCCGAAGACAATAGGTTGACATTTCCCTGTAAGTCTTCTGACAACATATTGACCGACTTATGACATCGATGTGATGATTTGATTCTATTGTTCCAGTTAGAAAAAAAGAGAAAACGGTAGAAGCATATGACAAGAAAAGTACAACCTTTTGCAGTAACTAAGAATAATATTTTTAATCCGAGGTATTTGATGTTCATAATTAAGCAATCCGGTCAAACAGTAAAATAATACTGCAAAATCTTAACTGATCTTTGCAATGATTCGTGCGATTCTTATTCTGTATGAACGTTAATTTCGTAAAAGAAACTAGAATATTCTGAGAGAACCTTTATTATTCGTCATATAGTTGTGTTGAATTAGATCGAAGAAATTCGAAATTTTTCTGCAACATTTTAGTGCTCTCAATGTATGCAAACACCTATGCCAGCAAATACTCTCCAAAGCATGTCGTTCACTTTTTCGTAAAACAATCTTAAATTTATGTTCTAGTAGTTCTTACGTAGGTTTAACATCTCTCAATAATTCTTCCTTTTAGAGAATATTTCTGTTTCTTCCATTTCATTGTTCCCTACTGTGATAAGTGCGCGTGCACGTGGTAGGTCCGAACAATTTCTTGATTTCTTAAATGACACGTAGTCCTTTCACATTAAATTCTCAGAATTCGTCAGGGAAAAAATGCCAAGTACTCTTCATAGTTCTCATCAAAATTAATTGACTTTTAGAAACAATTTTCTTTTCACTGAAACAATACAGATGCAATGTAAAGCCCTTAAAATATCTTTTCTAACAGAAGATTTCACTATCCACAATTTTACAGATGAAAGCATATATACGTTCCGTGTCACGAAGGGTCGATAAAGCCATGCACACGCAAATTGACCGTCAGACTGACGGCCACGTGCTCTCATCGCCCTTTCCAAGAAGTCTAGGGATCGATTCTAGAATCGACCACCGCACTAATCTATAAGGCAGCAGAAATACTGCGCAATATACTGTCATTTTGTATGGTCGTACACCTTAAACACTAGGACAGATAATTAAGTATATTACTTAATATGAGAGGAGAATTTTCAAATAATTTTTTGTAAAAACTGCGGGCAACTGTTCATCTTAACATTTTCAAATATTGCAGTTTACTTATTACATTACAATGTTTACCATTATGACCGAGTATTATCGAGTCTCTTCAAAAAAACAATTCGAAACTAGTTACCGTCATTACTTTTGAAAATAAATTTGTGGTTTAACAAGAAAAGTAATTACTTCCATAATCACCACCAAAGTCATCAAATAGAATTCCCTCTTAAAACCTTTGTAAGGATCTCTTCTCACACGCCTTTTTTTTTTGTTGTCGTACAATCTCTTGAGAAGCCCCCCTTCGGGTCGTCTGCGAGTCGTTAGTCACCTCCAATTGTCCTCTTTACATCGGCTAATTAGCGAGGGCCCGCAGATGCCCCACCCCACTCCACCTCTCTCCACTCCAGGCTGCCCCGCCGCTGCTCCTCCCCCGCCGGGGCCGCGCTCGTAAATAAAGCACGGGCCCCGGGCGCCAGGCCTCGCAGCCGCCAACAGGCCAATGACAGGGGGCTCGCGCACGCCACTTCGTGCCGGCGGCTCCACACATTCGGCGCTCGCAGAGCTGCCACCCCCTGCTCGCCCAATCCCCAACAGCTCAAGTGTTCGGCGAATGTTCGCTTCCCTTTGATCTGTCCAAAACACCCACACGCGGCGGGTAGGGTATGCGCCGAATGTTTGTCACGAGGCAAATAACAAGCAACTCGTCCACACTACTTGGGATTCGGCGAGCGGTTGCTCGCTACCCGCCGAATAACTAATGCGTGGATCTGCCTTCATGTAATTGCGCGCAGTGTGAAGCACAAAATATTCGACAAGTTCAATGTGAAATCCGAAACTACATCGCTTGAAAATGTTTGGAAAGTTCAATGTGAAATCCGATACCACGTCGAATGAAAATGTTTGGAAAGTTCAATCTGAAATCCGATACCACGTCGAATGAAAATATGTCCGTTCCGTTAAAATTGAAATCTGAAACCGCGTCGTTTGAAAATATTCTGTTAAATCGACCAAAAATCCAAAACTTGCGAAAAATTCAATTGGACTGTTTGAAAATGGGAAGAATTCAGCGGGAATAGTCTTGTGCGTTAGGGCTAAACGAGTTAGCTTCGTTCCAATAAAAACCAGTTTTATGTAAATCACCTAAAGTACAACCAAGTCCTTGTTATAATAGGCTAGTGAAATGAATTCTGATTTTATTTTGTAACCAAGTAATGGAGGCAGAAACGCTGTAATTTATATTCCAAGCTCTACACTGCTTGTATCATTTATCTAATTATATTTTTGAAAGCAAATAAACGCAGATTTGTGGACTTAAAAGGAAAAGGATACTGCAAGTGTAGTTCTTTGATTTTCACTGTAAAGAGCCTTTGATAATCAAAATTATTAAACCTCGTAAACTGTGTGGTAAATCTTAAGTTACAAAAACAGGTGAAATTTAATAAAAATCCGAATGCATTTTTAACTGAGACCTGATAACAATGTATGAATATGTTACCCTTCCCTTTACATCTGTTCGGGAGCGAATGGATCGGAGCCACGGAGCACGCCTCACCCCCTCTCGAACTTCGACATGTTTCAATGCGACCAATGTAATTTATCATTTAAAAATATTTTATTAATTTTATTATATAGTTGCATTCTACAAAATATTACCATACTATAGAGAAGCTTTTCAAAACGAATTCGCGTTCAGGAGAGCAGTTTGTGGATCCGGGCGTACACAAGTTCTTAGCCCTCCACTTAACACCGGCTTCATTGTTCGTCACACATTAATGTCAATTTATAGTTGAAGTTATTAATGTAATGATTCCAAATATATGACGAGACCTTTTCATTTTTCATCAACTCCCTCCTCCCCCTCGCACACAGTTGTCTGATCCCATGCGCGAACGTGGTTTTGAATCCCCTCCTAATCGCTTCCCATAACGGCAACGGGGCGGGGCGGGGAGGTTCGGAAGTGGCGCTCCGCGGGGCCCGCGGCCGCGAGGCGGGCTAGCGCGCGCCTCCAGGGTAAGTGAGCGCAATCCGGCAGGCGATTCCGGCACTATTAGGGGCTGCTGCCACCGCCGCGCGCGTGCGCCGCACAGAGGGCGCCCTCGCGCAGGCCTCCCCCTCCTCCGCCCCGCCCCGATCGAATCGAGCATGCCACCAGCCTTCCCGCGCCGCGCGCGCGCAGCGCTTCACGCGATGCACTTTTCGGCGGCGATTCATGCACTCTTTCACGGTGAACTGCTCGGGGCAAGGAAAGCGAGATGATCAAGATGGCCAAGCGCTTCACTACTAATTCGTATAATCTTAAAAAAAATAATTTCCCCCAATTTCGTTTGTAGACCTTATATAATTTCCGTAGGTCTCTGTAGCATTTATTATTAATAAATTATGAGAAATTAAATTTCAAATAGTACATGATTTAAGCATGTAAAAATAAGCCGCGATTAAGTGAAGTTGTGATTTTAATAGTTGTGCTAGTAGTTCCGCAAGATCAGAAATCTGGAAGGCTGTGAAAAATCAATTCCCAGAATGGAAAAAGGAAACTATAGAAGAAATGAATCTGAAATGTATTTGGCATTTCTTTGAATACTAGAAAATATAATACTTATAAACCTAGTTTATTTTCACTACCTACATGATTTACCAACATCAATTATTGTTCGTTTAACGACCACAATGCCCTTACGTGTTCTCCTAAATAACTTAATTTTCGTAATTAACAGTGCAATATAACAACAAAGAAGTTGAGTAGCTAACACCTGCGGGATAAGAAACCTTAGAAGATTAAGGACTTCTTTCAAGACCATCTCCCGCGCCCGTAGCCATACACGTTCCTATTGACTAGCTGGGGATCTGGGCGATCGAATAGGCGAGAAGCTCAGAACTGGAGTCGCGCCAAGACAACAAGCTCGGCTGTTTGTTATGTAATGCAGCAGCATCTTCATTATTTTTTTATCAGCTTAACTTCCAAAGCAAAAAAATACAGCAGAGGTTCAAATGCAGGGTGTTATGAATTTAAATTTGAATATATCACATCCGGACTACCAGTTTTGTTTTAAAGTTAAGGGACAGAAGCCAAAAATATGCTAAAATGTTAGTTTCTTCTGGACCAAAAGACCAATTCCTTTTGACAGTAAGAGTGTGTTCGGTTAAGAATTAATTTTCTATGGAGTTCATGCAATAAGTTTTCAAAATATTTAAAGAATTTAGAATTAGAATCTGACTGATTTTCTAATTAATGCTGGTTCATCACAAAACTCAGCACCTCTAAACCTAGGAATCTACTGGAAAGCTTTGGAAATGCAATTTGGACCCTATTCCTTTGCGTGAGAATCTAACGCCCCTGTGTCCGCCGAAAGTCAATACGTGTAGTATGGGAAGTGGTACTACACCTACGGCTTTGTGCGCTCACACAAGGCAGGGCGAGGCTTGCGGCAGAGACCGCCCACCAATCTCATGACAGACCGCGAACAAACCACTACTCCCTCCCCTCCCCGTCACACCTCTCTCCTAGGCCAGACTGTACTGCGCACCCAGAGCCCCTGGAGGTTAAAAGGCGGTCACCGAGCGGTCCCTAAGCGAAGCTCATGGGATGGAAGTTCGGCACTACTTTTGGCCAGAGGCATTCGGGATTTCAATTCGAGATAACTTAGCTATTACTTCTTTAATGTTCGATTATAGCAGAATGTATTTTAACTCTTCAGAACCCTTTTGTCCCACCTAAAAATGAAGAGAAATCCCGACCACAAAAATCTTCTGATGCTATATTGTTTATACAACAAACATTAAAATTTATTAATTTTTTTACAATAATATAATTTTACTCAATGCAAGATCGAAACAATAAGCTAATAGTTCGAATTGTCCTTTCCGTACTGGGTCTTGTGTAAAGAAATCTAGATTTATTAGTTTGCTGCGAGCCAATGTTCAGTGGCAAACATGAAGC